TTCCCTAAATAATAACACTATGTGCTTGGTTAAGGTTTTACTGTTGGAAAATCAGGAGGTACAAATAATACAGCAAGACATTGGCTAGTTAGCAACAGTCATCGCAAGATGCTTCACACAACCAAAAATAAGGCAAATATTATCAACAGCAGCTCCCATATGGCAGACTAAAAAGTCAAGGCTTTATTATCCAAACTGGACTCTAAGAAGGCTTCAAATGTTTGTTAACGAGATACGGCTTGATCCAAAGTCCTCCTAAATCGATGGGGATTGGAAAAACCAACCACAAAGCACATAAGCAACTTTCCCTTTGACTTCAAGGGGCTTTGGAAGTAAGCTCTTAAAGCCCTAAATTATCAGAGATGAAATGACCAATATGCTGTACATGAAAATTGCACCTTGTCATTTCTAAAATGATATGGAAAAGGACTGAGTTTTTTCAAATGATGTTACAACAATTTAATGAGTTCTTTTTAGTGGGAAATAAAATATTCACACAAAGATTTTGGTTTTTAAGTATTGTAACTTACAAAAATACATCATCAGGACAGGAAAGATCAGATGACACTGCTAGTTTCCAGGATAAATATGTTACAAAAACTAATGAATCACACAATGTGAATGGCAGCATATGCCATGCACTTACTTGAGCTTTTTAATAAATAAACCCCCTAAACATTTGCTATTTTATGTAAGATTACTATTATATTAAGTAGAATAGTGAATTTCTTGTATAAATAAATTTTTCAATAGATACATTCTCAAAAATGAACCACTTATCTATACGGATATTGCACTTCAGACTCATTCACATGTAACTCAGACAAGCATTCCTCATAACAAATTTAGAATAAAAATAAGTTATAAATACAGTATTTTCCCCAAATTAAATGTACAGTACCTTTTCTGTAAGGTAACTTTGGTTACTATCAACTGACAAAGACCAGAGGGAGGTTTCTGAGAGGAAGGTAGAAGGTATGGCAACAAAACTGAATTTCGGTAGAACACTGGTAACGGGAGCAATAATTTTACCCTTGTCATGACACACAGCAAGGCTGAGCATCTCTTTTATGCTTTATTATTGCAAGTGAGTATGAAGTTTTGTTGAGATCACAGGGACAAGCAACCTGAAGGATGAGGGGCTTCTCCTTTCTTTTTGAACCTGGGCAGATCCAGATGAGTAGCACCCCCTTGGTGAGGAAGAGAAGGCTCAGCTTTTGCTCTCAGCCACCCCTTTCCCCAGATATGCCCCTCTTCCTGCTGTAACCAGTGTGGTCCCTGGGATGCTCCAGCACCTTACAGAGAAGTGCTGAGCAGCTCTCCCAGCTGCAGCACCAGTGGGAGAGGACCAGGCACTGTGTGCTGCCTGAGGCACTGGGCATTCTGTCTCTGTGCTCCTGACTGACCTGAGTAGTCTTGATCTCTCCTGAGAAAACCTCTCCACACACAAGCCAGCCTCTGCCTGGGGTCCTGCTCTTCATGGCTTATGCCTCCTGCTCTCTTCCCTCCTGGGGAAGGCATGCTTGGCTTTGCCATGGGTTGTGCTCTTGCAGGTCACCAGTATGAGTCAACGTGCAGAAGGGAACCAGGCTGTTGTCCTCAGCAGGACTTGTGCAGGCTTGACATTTCTTAGGAGAAATGCACCAGAGTGAAGTGATCCATGGGGTTTGGATGCTTTTAGCCCTCAGGTCCTGCCAAAGTGGGACTAACTAGATTCCTTCTCAGGGGACCTCACCACGTTAGGTCAGCATAAGCAGTGCTATCACCAGGCTGCTCTTTATTTGCAATTACTGAGAAGCTGCTGTGTCCACTGACCACATTGTGCTTGTGTTCACCATGCAAGGAATCTGCTCCTGTACTCACTAAGGCTGCTTTAAGGGCCCAATATAGAAGTGGTAAAGGTTGTAGTGTGTGGTCCTGAGAGACCATGTGCCAAGATGGGAAAAGGAGAGAAATTAAGAAATGCATTTTCAGGCTTCCTGTAAATAACATCTCATTTCCTACACTTAGCATTGCTGGGATGTCATCTTTTAAGTGTGTAGAAAGAGAAATTAAGCTACTTTAAATAAGGTAAATATTTTAAAGCCTCAGTTCAAGCTTATCTGTGTTTTTACTGCTGTTGGGTATTTAATGGATTTATTTCACAAATAGCTTTTTAACAATTAAATGGCAAATATCCAATAGGATGGCATAATCTGTCAGGAAAAAAAATCTTAGGTTGAGGTTTTATGTTAATCCTCCCAGGCCTGAACATAAATCAGAATCTTTATTGATTAAGGAGGAATCTGAAGGCTGTAATCACTCCAAATCTCACAGGAGCTGCTTCAGTGGGAGCTCTGCATCAGGCAAGACTTGCTCTTGAAGGTCTTTAGACACCATACTTTACACTGATGTAGCTGGGAAAAGATGCTGCTTTTGTTCTTGGCTCTAGAAACCTCCCTTCTTCCTTTGAGCTCCCCTCTCTGTCAGATTCTTTAGTAACAACTTACAACATAGGAATGTTGGCAGTTTGAAGGATTGCTTTCCATGCTGAGGCTGCAACAAGTACTGCACCAGTCCTCAAGCTTTGTTCAAATAACCCAAAAAGGGCTTGTTACAGTTTGTGCCTTGCAGGCTGCCTCCTGCCACAAGGTCTTTACAGCCAGACTGTGTGTTGGTATTCCATGTCAGAAACAACACATTGTTTTTGGCAAGTGCACACACCAGAAATGGCACCTTCCACAATATGTAAAAGCATCTGTTTGCTCTGTTGCTAGTGGACTGTGGGGTCAGGTAAGGTTTTGTTGTTGTTTTTGAAAAGCTTATATTTAAACACTGTTGTGGTTTCCCCTCTTCAATGACTTTGAACTGCACTGGTGCTGGGATTGCTGAACATTTGAGTACGACTCATCACTAAGAAGACTTGAACTCTGAAGCATATTCAAAATACTATGTGAGAGATGGAGGCAGTTGCCTTCTCACTTTTGCTCCTAAAATCAAGTGCTCCTGTTCCCTCCTAACAGTCTGATCTCTCTCGGTCTCCCAGGGAAATGAAATCAAATGACCACTCTTCAAAACAGCCATTTTGGCAAATTACATCCTGAAGATGTAACCACTTGAAAAGAACTTGCACCCAGAAGCTCCAACTATTGCCCTTTTCATGGTGATATTTTTATAGGCTTTCCATTCTTATCATACTGGTAAACAAGCATTTTGATGCAGTGAGAGTTGGCTGGGGAAATCCAAGGGCTGCTTGTTATGGAAAAGTTATGGTTTGTATAGAATTGCACAGGTTGCTTCTGACACTTAAAGGAGGCTTTCAGTGTGGCAGCTGCCATTGTGCGAAATCTTTTGCTAATAAAACAGTAAAGGAAGAAATTAATTGCAGTGTTCAGTAGTGCTAGCATATTGGCAATGTCCGACACAATGTGTACCACCCAGCTGTTGTTTATAGGTGATACGTAGAGGTGATACAATATCATGATTATTCTTGGTGCCCAAAGTATGGCAAAAATAGAAGTTATAGTAAACAAAATGGCTGTTGTTTTTCCTGTGGAGTACCCTCGCAGTCGGAAGTTGCTCTTTCGTCGCAGCTTATACACAATGATGGAATTCAGGATGAAGAAGATAGAGCAGGGCACTAAGTAAACAGTAAAGCAGTGGATCCAGATGAGGACGTGATGCATTGATGTGCTTATGTAGTCTTCAATCCAAATATTGGGCCACCAGTAGTAGGGGATGCTTGTCAAAAAGCAGGTGATATAGACACTTACAATGACTTTTCGAGTACGAGCAGGGTAGGAGACTGTGTGATACTTCAATGGATGGCACACAGCTATATACCTATCAATTGTTAGTGGAACCGTAATCCATATGGAGGTGTGGATGGAAGAAAATTCCAAAACCTCAATTATTTTGTCCAGTACCTGAGGCATCTGTTTGTTTAAGATGAAATCTTCCATGAGAAAGTCAACAAAGACGATGAAGAAGAGAACCAGGATGTCAGCAGCAGCTAGTGCTAGAAGATAGTTATAGGAGGACTTCTGCCTGCGAGCCACAAGCTGGGAAAGAATGATGACTGTCAAGATGTTTGCTGTGGAGACAGAAACACAGAGTTTAGACTACTATGACTTAACACGAGCTTTTCTGAGCACTTACTCAGAGCAGTAGCTGTATTCAAGCACTTGGCGGCATGACCACCTTTATTAAAGTTCAAGAAGTCACATAGAAAGCAGTCCCTCAGAGAAGCTGTAGCAGTGAGAGGAGCTTGTGGCCCTGCTCTTAGCTGTGACATACAATGATACTGTGTCCTGGCAGACCAGGATGAGGGACAGGGAAAATTGGGACCTTCACTCCAGGCACAGGAGTGAAGGTCTCTCTCTGACTGGAAGGCATTTTTCCTCTGAAGTGATACAGCTGAGCATCTAAGGAAATCCTGCTGGTCCCATCAGATGTGGTGGATGTTCTTATTCAGCCTAAGTGTAAACATCCCTGAGTTTCCTGAAGAAGCATCTGCTTGCAACTCTGGCCACAATGCAGATCCACCACCTAAACCATACCAAGATGCACTGTATAACATTCAATACTGTGGTGAAGTGCTCAAGTGTCTTGGCTCTGCTGCTTCACTGTCTGGTTGCTTTAGCCTTCTAAAGCTGTGATTAAAGGTATACTTTAGTGGCTGCTTGAACTAGTGCTGTAAGGGATGCTGTAGGAAGGGCCTACTACTATAGCCCCTGGCCAGGCAGAGCTCCCCACCACGGGTGCAAACAGCCCTTGCAGCCATTGAGAGCTTTTATGGAGCACTAAAGTGCAGCTGGACATTAACTGCTTGTTTTACTATTAGAACTTACTGTGTGGTCTTGAATTGGAAAAAAAAAATAAATCCTAATATTCCTTCTAGTGGTACAGCTGGAATGAGAGAGGTGAGATTGTTTCCATCAGAAGTTCTTATGACTTGGCTAGAATACTTGAAGTAGTGCTTAAAAATCCGATCTGGTCTACTGTGTAAGAGACTGCCAAATGTTTGTATTTGACATTTTTGTAAGTGTTCTATAAATTGCCTCTTTTGTGCCTTCAGTGCTTCAAACATTTCTCCCAGATTTCTCAAAACAAATCCACAATAATTGTGATGATTCCTTTACATCAGACAGGAAGCTGTGGACATTAAGGTAATGATGACCTAGGACATATGTCTTGCAACTGAAAAGACTTTTAAAAAAAAAAATCTTTTACTTGGCACTGGAGAAAACTGCCTCCCTCTTAATGCCTTCAAAGCCTGCTGTCCGGGAGCAGATTTCTGCTGCTGGGGAAACAAACTGCAGCAGAGCAAATGATACTGAGTAATAGCCCTCATAAGTGTCATCGAGTTTTGTATTAACTTTAATATATTAACATTTTGTATCTTAGACTAAAACTAAACATGACAGTCAACAGACCGTTCCCTAAATAAAGAAGTATAGTCTTTCCAACAGTATTGTCTCAAATCACCTCCAGGGGAATTTTCCTGATTCTGTCCTCCATTAACATGAATGCAACTGCATTGATTTCAGCTCAGAACAGAGGTGGGAGGATGGGGTGGTACAGTCAGAACTGCTGTGTCATTTTTCACTTACTTGCTTACAGAATGCCTCTGTGGTGCCTATTGATGAGCCTTAGAGGTTCAGTGAGGGATATATTGTCAAGGAAATTCTCAGCCTGGAGTGTTTATGATGACTCTGCAGTCACTGTTGGTTTTGGCCAGCCAGACTGAATGTCTCAGCTTCACAGATATTGGATGTGACCTGTGGGGTTCATCTTCTCTTTAAATCCTCTGGACTTAACTCACTCCAGCAGCTGGAGGCAGTGTGTAGCACAGGGGATGCTTGAGGATGTTGGTCCCTGCTGGTAACTCTGGCATGACTGGCAGAGCAGATCCTGCAGGGATGCTGAAGCCAAAGTCCAGGCACAGCAGCCTTGTGCCAACCCCTTCTGCCCATTGTGGGGGTCCTGCTGTTTGGTACTAACCCCACTCCCATTTTCCTATAGGAGCAGACTTATGAGCAGTCCTTTCCTCTGTCCCCTCTCCTCCTGCCTCTCTCGGGGTCCTCAGCAACAGCAGTAACAGCGTGTACTGAAATGAGTTATTTGTCTAATGCCAGTGAGCTTTGCTTGGTGACCTGGATTGGAAAATTGATCTGACAAAGCACATGCAAGCTCTCCAATTTTTTTTGCAAGGGTTATGGTATATTGTATTGGAAATGCTTTCCCTGGGATCACATTTACGGCTTACTCTGGTTGAATGATATGAAATAGCAATATAATTTACTTTACGAAAATAGATATATACTGGGGTACAGCAGAAAGTTGCCAGTGTGACAGTGGCTTAACATAGGGTTTGGGAGTATTTTTCCTGCTGCATGCTGTACAGGGACAGTGAAGATGAGCTATGGTTAAGTGTCAGTCTTTTACCCACTTCCTAGACTCTTAAGTTGGTCCTTGGTGTGTCCTCAAACACTGTCTAAAGCTCAGCAAAATGGGAAATGAGTGGGAACACTGCACTGTGTGAACAACTGTGTCCTTGTGCCAGCATCTCAGTGAGTCCTGGGTGCCTACTCTGTGCTCAGAAAGCTCTCTTGTGGGCAAAAATTGCATACTGTGTGTGGAAGGCGATACACGAGCACTTGCAACTGTATTTTAACCTTGTTTATGCTAATTCTTGTACTAACATTGTAGTTAGTGATGAGGACTATGGCAGATACTATGGAGACATAAAAATATGTCTGTACTCTCATACTTGGAGCTACAGCTGCTGGCTAGGTCAGTGCTCTGACATTGTCCTGAATGGTATACTGCCCATTTCTTCCAGTGTTTTTTCTAGATACTAAGTGGTTAAGATCATCTGAATTTGAAAAAGATTGATCACTGTGCTGAGAGATGATTAGGGGATGACAGATGGGAATTTATGCCAGTGTTGGCTGCTGCAGTGCAGTATTCTGAATTTATAAATATCCAGTTGAGAACCAGGGCTTGATTAGGGACTAGCTGGATGAACCCTTGAGATGCCACTAGCAGATAATGAGAAGCAACTGTGACAAATGGCAATCTCAACTCTTTCCCTTCAGTCGTGACGATGCCTTTGATACACAGCATTTGAAGGTCCTTGACACCCAAACACCATTGGTCACCAGTGCTCAAAATATGTCAACCTTCTAACTCAGCCAGGCTTTGCCATGAGACACTCACATTTCACTTTTGATGTCTCCTCTGACTTGACCAGCTTCTGAGAACAAATTGTAGTACTGAAATTGTTATAATTGGAAGTCCTACATGTCTGAAAGGGAACATCCTTTAGAAGTAACCTTAGTTCTCATGTGGATTTGGATTTGCTTCCTGTACTGAACCAGGCTACCTTGCCTGTAGAGCCCAGGCTGTCTTCTGTGCCTCCTCAAAGTGGTGTCTCTGACCTAGAGGCACAGTTTTTTCCCTAGCTTCTTGTTTCATGGATAATAGTCACACCTCCAACAGTGTCTAACGACAATCTTTGCAGGGGATTTACAGAGCAACTTCCACTAACTATCATCACCGTGTGTGAGCCTAAGCAAGAGCAATCTGTCTAAAGAAAAAATAAGCATCTTTTTGGGCTTTGGTTTTGTTGTATTTCTTCTTAATTGAGAGCATTTTGCAAGTACACAGCAGGCTGTGCAGTGAAACAGCCTTTATAACATAAGTGGTAGTGCCACTGTGCTGGCAAAAAGTCCCACTGTAGGGGTCAGCAGTGCAGCTTCATAAACCACCTAAACGAAGTGGCCGTGAGTGTCACTGACCGAGCATGATGCACATTAGGTCACTGAATATAATGGACACCTTTTACCAAGTACAGTTGTTGCTAGGATCCCTAGAAATTATTGTGCAATGTATGAAACTACTCTGCAGGCCTTGCATTAGTCACCTGACTGGCACAGGGACAGACCATTTGCAAATGGGAAATCTTAAATTGCTTTAGAAAATGTGTCAGTAGCACCTCCTTCTTAGATTTGGAAACCCTGAGACTATAAGTACAATATGCTAAAAATGTATGGTGAAAAAAGTAGTGTTTTGGCTTAATGGAAAGTGGTAATTTTCTCTAAGCCAGGAGACAATATTAAAATGTAAACAGGTTCTGTGTCCAGCAGCCAGGTCTGACCATGGTTACTAACAGTCATTTGTCAATAGCTACCAGACTGGAGATGAGGATGGTGTTCACCCTTTACTCTGTGTGGGAGCCCTCTGGAGATTATGACAATGGGTGATTTCTGATACAGGCTACATAAATTATTTTTTAAAAAATGTTAACATGCTTTGGCAAAGTAAACACATTTATTAATGCTGTTGGCTACAGCTGGTTATATGGTCTTTTAAAATGACCTCTGGATGTTGTTTGTTATTATAGAAGACAAGGCAATTCCATATTTTTCTCTTCTAGTCAGTACAAGTCAAACTCAACACTACAGCACATGGGGGCAACCTTCATGAACAGTGTATGCTTATGGCTAATGTAATTTATTATCATATCCTGAGATTCTTCCTTAAACTGCTGCAAAGCGTAAGAGATGCTTTATAGAATATAATTAGAGCAATACAAGTTTTGCATTCCCTGAGAGTTCCTGTGAGGATTGATTTTTAAAATAAATGTGTGTACTTGTTGTTCAACTATCTGAGCACTGCTGAATGGTGTGAAGCCACTCACCCTCAAGAGGGAAGAGCCCTCAGCCCCTTCTTCTGGTGCTGACATAATCTCCAAGGGGATTGAGAGGGATCTAAGCCAAAAAATGAGCATCACAAACACTATGGCAGGTGTGGGTGCAGGACTGCCACTGGAGGAGATTCCACACCTTGTAGGAAGGCTCATGAGGTTTGTGGTTAGAAATTCCACATGCAGGGACAGACATTGCTGGTTCTGAGGGCAAAAGTAACCCTGGAGGCAGAAGACTTTCAAGCTTCTTGCCCAGGAGAACCGAAACTCCCCTCCATATGCGTAAGATCGGGTTATTGACTTCCAGAGAAAAGGTAGCATGACTTTGTGCTTATAAATCACAGGTGGATGGATGAGGTGGTGTCAGAGGCCAGTTTCTGATGATGAAATCTGGCCTCTGAGGCCATTTTTCTCACTGACGTTTCCTAGCTGAGATGGCTCTAGAGAAGGATGCTGTGAATGGAGTACTCTGCTCCACAGCTGGCACTGGCTGGTCATGGAGGCCAGAGAAGGATTTTAATCCAGCCAAAAGCAGTTCCTTGCCACTGGAGGGCACAGACACAGTAATAGCACGGAGACACTGACAGCCGGGTGTTCACTTTGAGCCTTGCCAACCACTCCAGCTTAAGTGCAGTAACTTGTCTGGCAGACAGATATAATTGCATTGCATTACTTTCAGCTTTCCTAGGCTGTTGGAGTAGGTTTCTTTTCCTAGACTTTAGAAAATAGGG